GGAACTCTGGTCAACAGAACACCAATCAAACACCTTCAGCCTATGTAGCAGTGCCTGCAGTCCTTGATGATCCAGCTTGGTATGTGGATTTTGGAGCAACCAATCATGTGACAATTGATAAAGGTGACATGAATATTGCTGAGAAATACAAAGGTAAGGAAAAGCTACTTGTTGGTAATGGAGATATGCTTCAAATTGCACACATTGGAAATAGAAAAATCAGCACTAAAAGTAATAAGACACTAGATCTGAACAAATTGTTGCATGTTCCCTCAATCAAAAGAAATCTAATTAGTGTCTCCCAACTCTGTGATGATAATTGTGTTTTTATGAAGTTCTATTCTAACTATTGTGCTGTAAAGGATATCCAAACGAGGAGGACCCTACTCCAAGGAGTGCTTAAAGATGGATTGTACAAGTTGCAGTTGCCTAATCTCAAACCAGGGAGCACCCCTTTCAAGTCAAATCAACAAAATAATTACCACTACTTCACAGCTAAGTCTAGTGATTAGTCGTGTTCAGTTAAAAACGTTTCAGAGTCTGAGCTTGATTTTTGGCATAGGAGACTAGGACATCCTTCAAACCTTGTTATAAGTCAAGCTCTAAAGTCTTGCAATAAACTTGTTAAAACTAGTGAAATTCCTGTTTTTTGTGAATCTTGCAAGTTCGGTAAATCACATGCTCTTCCGTTTAATTCTTCATCCTCACATGCCTCAAATCCTTTGGATCTCATCCACACTGATGTGTGGGGGCTGGCCCCCTTAAACTCTACCACAGGGCATAGATATTATATAATTTTTGTTGATGATCACAGTAGGTTTACATGGATTTATCCATGGAAGCATAAATCTGAAGCTTTAACCGTCTTCACTCACTTCAAAAATCAGATAGAAAACAAGCTAGATAGAAAGATTAAATGCCTCCAATCTGACTGGGGAGGGGAATTCAGAAACTTCAATAACATAGCACTTGAATGTGGCATTGAACTTAGGCACTCCTACCTTCATACTTCTGCTCAAAATGGGAGAGCTGAGCGTAAACACAGACGCATCACAGAGACCGGCTTATGTCTCTTGGCTCAGGCTCAAATGCCTCTTTTTTACTGGTGGGAAGCTTTTAAGGCTGCTGCTTATCTGATCAACAGGCTGCCTACACTTGTCTTGCATCATAACTTACCTTTTCAGACCTTATTCAACAAAAAATTTGACTACAACCAACTTAGAATATTTGGTTGTGCTTGTTTTCCATGCCTTAGACCTTATCAGAAAAACAAGTTCAGTTTTCACTCTAAAAAATGTGTTTATCTTGGCTACGGTGATTCCTATAAATGTTATAAGTGTCTAAGCCCAAGTGGTAGAGTCTATGTCTCAAGACATGTCGTATTTAATGAAAAAGATTTTCCTTTTAAGTCTGGTTTTCTAAACAAAAATACTCAAGTTCAAGCTAGTAATACCACATTGAGTTTTCTCCCTTTCATTGATCTCAGCCAGAATTCCATCCCTCAAATGGCAACTGCTGCTCCTACAATCCAACCTGAAAGCACTGCTGCAGTAGACCTTACAGATGGAGAGATTGGTGGAGATGTGGTAATTTCACATCATGATGAGTTAAATGATGAACCAGTGGCAGTTAATGAAACTTCAGAGGTTCAGGAAACTAGAGTTGATACTCAAAATGAGGTAGAAGGAATAGATTTACCAGATAAAGTTTTGAGTCGAAATCTTGAACATCAGATGATTACTAGGAGCAAGGCAGGGATATTCAAGCCCAAAATCTATACCAGTCTAGTAGTTAAAGATTTGGCAGTAACTGAGCCAGAAAATGCTGATGAAGCACTCTTAATTGACTGTTGGAAACATGCTATGAAGGAAGAATATAATGCACTCATGAAGAATGATACCTGTACACTGGTTCCTGCTGAAAGAATAATGAAAATCATTGGGAATAAGTGGGTATTCAAGTTGAACCATGATCTGAATGGAAAAGTAGCAAGGTACAAGGCTAGGCTCGTTGCAAAGGGATTTCTTCAAACTCCTGGTATTGATTTTAGTAAGACCTTCAGTCTTGTTATTAAGGCTTCAACCTTAAAGATTATCATGACATTTGCTGTGACTAAGGACTGGCAGATCAGACAGGTTGATATAAATAATGTCTTCTTAAATGGTAGCCTGAATGAGGTGGTTTACATGGATCAACCACAGGGTTTCATCGACAAGGAACATCCTAGCTATGTATGCAGACTTAAAAAGGCTCTGTATGGTCTAAGATAAGCCCCACGAGCCTGACACGACAAGCTGAAACACATGTTGATGAAGTGGAATTTCAGACAATCAAAGGCAGACAATTCCCTATTTTTCCTGACAAGAGAAACTGATATAGTGTTTGCCTTGATATACGTGGATGATATTGTTATAACTGGGAACAATGGTCAGCAATTACAGGAGTTCATTGATAAGTTGAACATTACTTTTGCACTTAAAGACATGGGAAAACTTAGACAATTTCTGGGAATTGAGGTTCGAGAAATGCAGCCGGTCTACATCTGAAGCAAACCAGATATGCAACTGAATTGTTAAAGAGATTTGGTTGTGAAGATTTGAAGCCTAGTCTTACCCCTATGGCTGTAGGGAAATTGATTTCAAAGGCTGAGGGACAAGCAATGAAAGATCCCACTTCTTACAGAAGCGCCATAGGGTGTCTTCAATACCTTATCCATACCAGTCCATATTTAACTTATTCTGTAAACAGGTTAAGCCAGTTTCTTCAGGCACCAACTGACTCTCATTGGAAGCTACTTAAGAAGGTGTTTCAATATCTGAAGGTACCCTAAATTATGGACTAACTATACAGAAAAATGATAGTCTTCACATCACAGCATTCGCTGATTCAGATTGGGCTTCATGCCCAGATGACAGGTAATCCACAGCTGGGTATTGTGTTTACATTGGAGACAACTTGGTGTCATCGTGTTCTAAAAAACAACATGTAGTCTCCAGGTCCAGCACATAAGCCGAATAGAGAGCCTTAGCTCACTGTGCTGCAGAAATAACCTGGATTCAATCCCTACTTGAAGAGTTGGGAATTCCACAGCAGTCCACTCCTATTATTTGGTGTGATAGCCCGAGTGCAAGTGCTTTAGCCCCCAATCCAGTATACCATGCTCGCACAAAGCACATCGAATTGGATGCTCATTTTGTAAGAGACAAGGTACTAGACAACCAGCTCAAAATTCACTATGTTCCCTCTTCAAACCAAACAGCAGATCGGTTGACTAAGCCAGTGTCGCAATCAAGATTTCAGCTGCTTAGGGACAAGCTTGGAGTGGTGGAACACACTCCACCTTGAGGAAGGGTGTTAGAATAAATCAGCTAATTGTAACGAATAGGAGATAGATTATTGTGCAACATTACACTTCCTTAATTTCAGGAGTGGAATAGAATTCTGGTAGCTAAATAGTACAATCGGTTTTGCATTGCTGGTAGCTGAATTCCAGAATGTTCCTAGCTACCAACACTTGTATAAATTAGTGTATTTTCGACTGATGAATTTATCCAAGTAAATACAACATTTTCACTCTTCAATTTCTAACTACGTGTTACGGGGCGTGAGTGTAGACTTAAGAAGAAGTAAGTGTTTGGAGCCAATGAAAATTACTCTGTTGCAATTGGAATTGGTGCTCAAAAATAGTCTCCTCTGAGGTAAAAGAAGCATATTTCAAGCTGCAAGGGTTTCTTGCAGGAAGACGAAGAAGAAGAAGAAGAAGATGCTTGCAATTCCATGGACAAGAAAGAAAGAGCAGAGAAAAAGGTTAAAAGAAGTGTGTGTATACTTCGATTTTACACTCTTTTCAGCGACTGGTTTTTCCTCGTCTTTTCTGCATTCTTGAGAATAACACCTTCAATAAGCGTGTTTCCTCAGTATTTAACACCGAGTTTGGCTATACTTAAATTTACTTTTTAAGAATTTTAATATTTTCTAAATATTTTGGATCAGATGCTTCTTTCTTAGTTATAAATAAAATGCTAATATGATTAGCTTTACTTTCAAATCAAGTATATATGTGTCGAACTTTTATTTAAACAATGATTATTTATTTTAAAATATATATTATACTTATATAATTAACTATTTTAATCTCCGCAAACACACACTAAGCAGTATCCAGTTCTTTGGGTTAGGTAAGATAACCCCGTGGAGACTTGAAAAATTGCATATACTAATAAAATTTTGAAAATTAGGTTTATAGTTATCGAAACTCTATCTTGACGTTGATGTGGCCAAGCCTTGAGTCATCGATTCATTTGTCACACCGATAGATCCAGGGGCGGAGCTAGACTTTGAATGTAGGGGGGGCCTAGAGGTACAGGTGAAGTGGTGGGGGCCCACGGGGGTT